CCCCCCCCCCGTCCCCCTTCCTCCCTCTCTCACCCTTATCGATAAAAGTGCCTTTACTAAAAGCTTAGGCTCAGGAACCACCGGATTGGCCTTGAGAGATCCATTTAAGGCACTTTTATCGATAAGAAATGAGTTCAGAATATGGACCTTTGCGTTTTTAATATAACCATGTAGACGATGTATACAAGGTGTCTTCGAATAAACGGTTGAAATTAAGGATCCTTCGGACTGTTTGAGGTCGAGCTTTCCTGAATAGTGGTATTAGGTCACTGGTAATTTTTTGCGTTATCGGTGGCTAAAAATAACAGATTTCTCCTTGACCCAGATTCTCCGTTCGTTATATTAGCTCTTCCAATAAATAACAGTCAAAGTTGACGTTCTCTTGAAGGAAAGATTACTCCGGTTTTGTCAAAGAAACTGTCACTGAAAATTGGACCAGTTTATTTTGAGATACTTTGTACGAGTGTTCCGTTATTGATGATAATATAAAGTTTGTACAAACGTAACCGATAGTAGATGCCAATGTTTACAAACAGCACTCTGATGTACAATCTTGCTGATCATTCTTTAAGTACAACTTCGCAATTCTTTGAAGTATCTTTGAAGTATCTGTGTGACCGATAACGGAACACTTAATATAATATATAGAACTACAATTTAAAAAGAGAGGAAGAAAAAGATATTGTATGTATGAATACAAACTGATTCTAATCAGATTGATTGGTGCATCACAGATTGTACGAAAGTGCATGTCAAGGTTTAAATGTTTCATTTACTTATAAACGATCTTTTCTATTTAGAGCAGACTTATTATTATTATTATGATTCCGACTATTTATATGCATTTGCTGTTTACTCATTATATTATAATCTCGTTTACAACCGTTCAGTCTTCTCTCGGTACAGCGAAACATTGAATTAACGCTATAGATGAGTTCTGCGATTTTCCAGCGATTGTGATATCAATTCGTCCGAAAAGGTCGCAGGTTCCTATCGTTACGCCAATCCGTGGCGCCAGTGTACACCAAAGGTCACGAATTACTACTCGCCGGTGTCACAGCAGCTATTCTTCTGAGATACATATTTTTTCTTCAATTCCCAGACTCGGACAGAATGGGCGAGCAGTGACCGGAGGAAAGTTGATCGTCGTTTGTAAGGCGTCAGGCCGCTGGGAGTTCGCTTTTCATTCCGAAACATCGACGATTGAAGCTTCAGCTTAACCGTAGCGTCGAACTGTTCGCGGTAAGCCTGAAGAAATTCGCGCTCGCTTCACCAACGGGAGTTCGTAACTTCGTCTCTTTCGCTGTCCGCGGGATTTACAAGCGAATTGTCACATGTTCAGACGAGCGATAACGTCGAGCCAGGCGTCGCGAAGAACACGAGAGCAAGTCAGCAGATAAGACCGTCGCCGATGGTAGGGCCGACGTTGTATCGGTGATTCCTCACGTCGTCTCTCTTCCCGCATCTCGTTGCGAAATCAGTGGCGGCGGCGGTGGTGCTGGTGGTGTTCTGGTGGTGGTGGTTGGCCAGAGTAGTGCTGGTGGTGGTGACGAGAAGGACGGCGGCTGTAGAGCGGCGGTGACGTCGAGGAATAACCTACGTGCCCGGGGTTACTGCTCTCCGCTCTGTCCTCCATAGATTCCGAAGCTTCCCCGCGGAAGGCCGTAGAAAACCGGACGATCAGTCGCGAATACGTGGGAATGTTATGTAAGCTATAGACAAACACGCACACATACACGGTACGTATCGGGCCGGAATCGCACGACGCAACGTCGCGCGCCCGCGTCGCGAAAACACGACGAGGGGAACACACGGATGAGATGTCAGTTTCATTTTTTCCGCCGCCGCGGCAAGACGCGCTCGATCTCTTAATTCCGCACTTCGGACGTCGCGCTTTTCACTCGCATGCACGCGATCGGCCCTACGTTGACGCTGTGATTGAGAAACGTCCAGATGCGACTCACGGAGAAACGTAATCGTCAGAGTCCGGATTCTGTACACGTCAGGATTCGTTCCTGATTTCCGAGCGACGTATAGGAAGGATGTGTACATGTGACGATGATATACAGTTCGTGTCATCGGTTCACCGTAAGGAATCTTGATTTTCCAGGTGATAAAGTTACTTGGCCGAAGGATGCACGCCGAAAGCAGCACGGGGATACCCTGTGCGCATGGTTGAGTCTGGACGAAGTGGCCAGTTATGAGGAGGATGCGCGCTTGAAGACCGAGGAGCCGGACGAAGAGGACGAGAAGGAGTGCGAGGAACTTTCAGGAATGTCTTCGGCGTCGGTCAACAAGCTGCAGATCCTGTGGGACCATTTCATCCACGCTGAGCCACAGAGTTACGAGGTACCGCCGCACTTTTTCTCATCGTTCATTTATTTCTTTTATTCACGAGGAGGGAAGCGACGCTTCCCCATTCTCTACTTTGCTTGGCGAAACGACGACGAACGCGCTTCGCTATATTGAATTTATCCGACGAAGATTTCCTCCACACACGTGGACAAACTTACCGATATAATGCGTAGTACGGGAATTAATTTTGTCAAGTTCAGCTTTAACCACACCTTGAAGCCCGAAGCCCCTGTTTTATAATTGGATCCCTTCGACGGCGTTGGCGCTGCATTGTAATGGCTTGCGAAGGAGATGCCTTATAAGTTGTTTGTCAATACTTTGTTTGTCAATACTCGCTGAAAAGGATAACCACATACGTCTGTGTTGTCATCAATAACAAAATTCACTGTTCAAAATCAGCTTTACGAATTCCTCTCTCTCTCTTTCACACTTTATGATAAAATTTTACCGAGGGGATAAAAAAGTGACAAAAATCTCTTTTTTTCTTGTGTACTTTTAATTAAAATCTTTCAAGGTCTAATGATCGATCACGCCTGTAAATCGAATAAAAATAAAATATGGCAACAGTAAAATAGCAATAATAAATATACGTAACATAAATGAAACGTAGCAAATATATCTACTTTTAAATCGTTCTGTGACGACGCAAGAATTTAACTCTTTGCGATTGTGTTACCTCAGACATACAAGTACCCAGCTGAACAAAGATTCGTATAAAATAAAGAAATGTTATTATATGTCTTCAACTTTTTCGTCTGTTTGCGATTGATGTAGAGGGATCTTAACATACGATCGAAATGGTACAAGTGTTACAGCGGCTAAGAGCAGACGTACGACCGCAAAGATTTAATTATACGCCGCAAGTGACACGATCACTTCCAATTTCCCCAGGATATTCAAAATTCAAAGTGTTCCACTTTCATATCTGAAGCTTTTTTTATCAAATTGCATCAGCTTGTATACGCGCGCGCGCATAAATAAGCAACTTTAATAATATGCAGCGAGTATGTCATTTTGCTGATTATGTTTAATCATTTGGTAATATGTTTACTTGTGTTTTTCATTTTGGGTCAATTGGCGTTGATTACAACGTCGCACATGGCGACAGTCAATTTTCGCCAATTATGTGAAATAAAAGCAGAAGCGTCTTCGCATCTTTTTTTATCTCGATCGCTATTGCGTATTTGTGGACCTCCCTTCTGCGTGTTTTGCGTCTTAATGTCGTGACATGTTTATTTTTCCTTTGAAATGAGTCGTATCGAATGGTGTTCACTTACCGAGCCGCATTCACCGGATTCGCGATAATTAGCGACCCTGCAACAAGTGGGCAATTACGCCTTCGTTTTTATAAACGATGCCCCAATGTTTTTGGTATATGGTATCTCTCATTTGTATACGATAGTGCGGACTACGCAGTATTGGTCGTATTCGAAAGCAATAATCCCATGGTTGTTTCAGAAGTCATCCTGGCTCGATATATTTCTGGCGGAGTTGCTCGCGCAAATTAAAGAGGGCAGAGACGTGAAGGACGTACTGTCATTTTGGTGAGGAAAATTTGTGTCGTGACTTGTCTCGTTACATCGATCTATCATTAGCATTTGCAGTGAAAAATGAATTTGATTGTGTAGGAAGAGGAGGAGAAACATTTTCTCGCGTATATTTATTACGAAAGAGAGATTATGGGGATGATAAAAATTCTCTCTTCAATTATTTTAAGAGCGTGCACAAGTCCATGCGTATGTCGTAACGAGATATCACAAAAAACTGCTTGCGCATAACATGGCCTCGCTTTTATAGAGGGAGCGAAGCTCCTGAATGTGCTAATCTTTCAACGCGCGATCATTGGCAGGCACTTGTCTCATTAGTTGGAATTATGTTGAATGATGATGTCTCATTAGTTAATACCTCCATGGGGCATCCCAGCACGATTGTTATTAATAACTTATAACTCATAACTTCTTAGAACAGGTAGAGAGAACAAGTTCCTTCTATAGTTCAAAATTCTCCGAAGTGTATAACCGATGCATTTTCGGAGGATTTTAAAAACCGTTGCTGTTTCTAAACTTAAATTCCCGTTGTTATTACGGTTAAATTTACGTGACAATGAACAACCAAACCGCTTTTTGGTTACAGGAAGCAAAATTTATAAGTCCTCGTGAATCAAATTTGGTTCTTACAAAGTTCTAAAAGTTCTGTTCTCTTCAATTACAACGCGTTTAGTTCAACCAGGTAAACTCATTTTTTAGCGTAATACAAGCACATTTTTTCCCTGCGTAATACTTCTCATCATAAATTTACGTGACTCTGTCCGGAAAGCGTATTCGATTACACCGCTCATTTTTACGATTTGCTGCCTCTACTCCCCGACCGCAGTATGAAAATTTGATCGCACTTTTGCGGTTGCGGTGGAAAACTTTTATGCCAGCCCGCTCAGTTGACGTTCTATCCGACAATCGTATCGATCGAATCTACGTTCGTTCGCAATATACTCGGACATTTCAAATATTACACGCTATTTTAATTAAATTAATTTGACGATAACGCGTTCATTGTAACGTACGTGACTCATAGAACGTTCTCCTGTTTATTTCCCTGATAATGTGTCGAAAACGCTTTCCGATAAGCATCGACAGAAGCTTCCCTTTCTTGGTTCTGGGTAATAAGTAGCGATTGCGAATATCTCATTAGCTATTAAACACAACAGATATGTTCGGATCGCCACGTATCTCATCGATAATAATCAACCTGATAAGTCACGGCTCGCCGATCGCATAGGTTGCGAGAAAGAGAGAAACATATGTACGGAGGAAAAAGATCGATTGAATTCACGTGACAATGAACGAGCCGAGTGCGTTTCAGTCGAAGGAAACGGAATGTCTGGTTCCCGTGAACTAAATTTGTTCTTTTGGTTTATAAGAATTTCCAGAAATTCCTTTATCGAGAAAGCGTTCTTGAATTATATAAAATAAAATATACAAGAAAGTTTGCTTCCTTTATTGGCGGGAGAATAAAACATATAGTAATGGAAAGTATGTCATAAATCATAAACATTTAGCACAGATTCGCCGAGCTTTTTCGTGTTGCATCACCCATTACCTGTCCAGCACTGCCACCATCTAGTTTAAACAAACAGGCTCGTCTAATTTCAGCTCGGTGGGCGGCGGCGGCGTCTCCACCCTCGTGGCCTGCGAGCTGCTGTCGGACGTGCACGAGTTGTGCGCGAGAAGGGACGACTATGGCGAGCTCGTCGGTTTGCGAAAGTACCTGGCCCAGGATCGCGGCTGGCGCTGCTTGGCAGTGTTGCACTTACTCGGCGAACGCGGCCTGTCCTGCGGTCGCGAGCTGGTCGCGCTGTTGGTCGCGCTCTATCCGGTCGCGTTGCAGGACGGATCGGACGGACCGGCGCGGGAGACCGGCTCGCCGACGCGCAACCAGTACGTGAGATTCCATTGCAACGACGACACGGTCGACACGGTGGAGATCGTGCCGCACATCGCGAAGCGGAAGAACGTCAAGTCCGGCCGGCCGGCGTACGAGGGCACCGCGCCTTTCGGACGCAGGAGGTCGTCTCGCAGACACGTGGTCGGCACGAAGCTGCCGGCGCACCACAAGCAGCAGAAGTCGCTGATCGCGGATCGACGCGACACGCCGGGTGCGACCAGCAGCGAGTCCGACCCGGTGACGGACGGCATCGATCAGGCCCGCTCTCTCACCCTGAAGATTCGCTTGAACCCCATGGACTTCGAGTACTTCACGTCGGTGGTCAGAAGCGGCGACGAGGAGCAGAGATGGCCGGCCGAACTCTACGAGCTGCCGCCGCGTCCTGTGAGGAAGACACCGCGCGACTACATAGACGAGAGGATCCGGGACGTGCTGGACGCTCGGATCAGCAACTTCGAGATCAGTCTGTTGATCATACAGCTGCTGCAGGGCCTGCGCGACTACGACACGCCTGCCGAGCAAACGCCGGCCGTGCAGGTGCTGAAGTTCGCCTTGGACACCTTGTGGTCCCTGCAGTTCGGCATTGACTGCAACAATCTGAGCGGTACCGAGTGCGCGACCTTGAAGGCTGCCGCTGCGAGGCTCATGCTGACGGCCTTGGAACGCGCTCTGAGGGCCGACGAGCCCACCACGGCGGTGATTCACAACGGTTTGCTGCCGATGACCCTGAGATTGCTGGAGGACGCCTGCAGCAAGCCGGTGAACGTGCTGGAGCCGGAGGAGGGTTCGCTCCTGCAGGAATTCATCTTCGGCACCATATACGGGATCGTCACGTTCCTCTACTGCCTGTTGCACCAACGCAGCGGCCACGTCGACAAACTGTCGGACTTCCTCGAGCTCTTCCAGCTCTTCGTCGAGAGCCAAGAGGGCAAGCTCGTCGAGAGAACCGTCTTCAAGATCGTCGACCTGCCGAGCGTCGATCCCGCCAAGTCGATTATGCGCGCTAAGAAGATCATCGACATGATAGGCGCGCTGACCAGCGGTCTGAAGCGCATCCGGCGCGACCTCTCGCACGCCACGCAGTGCCACAGGTCGAAGCACAAGTCCTGCATCGACAACATTCAGAGCCACCATCACTCGGACGTGCTCGGCACGCCGTACTCTCAGCCCATCGTCGGCGTTGTCAACAAGCAAGTGTGCTGCATCTCCTCTCTGTTCGCGACGCTCATGGGTCTGCTGAAGCAGTCCCACTTGTTCGTGAGCGAGCTGCAAGTGAGACTGATCAAGGTGATCACCGCCGCCGGCACGTGCTGCTGCTTCCCGCCGAAGATACTCGTCTCGAGTATCGTGGCCTTCCTCAAGAAGCGCGATATCTCGACCTACGCGCCCGCCGTCGCGTTCTTGGAGCGCACCCTCTTCAAGGAACTGGGCGCTTACCCGGTGACGGACGCGTGCAGCACTTGCGACAGGTCGGCGGATTACTCCTGGGACTTCCTCGAGATGTACGTGGACCTGTTGAGCCCAGCCGACCCGAAACTCTGCTACGTCGTGATGGCGCATCTGCTCAAAGTCACGCCCAGCTCCAGGTACCACGTGCGGGAGCAGCTCCTCCTCAAGGTCTTCTACTCGACCTTCCTGCGCGCCAAAGCGTGCTACGCGGCGTCCGACGACGGCGGCGACTCGACGGCCAAGTTCCTCCTGCAGTCCTGCATATCCATCATGTCCTGCTTGATCGTGAACGCGCAGATGTGCGAGAGATTCGTGGAGTTGGACGGACTGCGCGAGGTATTGACCCTGATGCCGGACCAACTGTTCACCAGGAGTGTGTACGCTCTCTTGGAGGTCACCGTGACTATCGAGATTTGGCGGAGCCATTGCGAGGAGGTCGGTTACTCGGAAAGCACGGAGATGCTCGCGACGAGATCCCTCTTCGAGTCTCTCGACAGGGAGACGAACGAACTGCTGGTGAACTTGCGGTACATCGAGGAAGGGAAGGCCGATCGAAGGCGAGGCGAGGATACACCCGACGTGCGCCCCGACGACCGGGGGATCAAGCTGCGAGCTGCTCTCGTCGGGGATTTCAACATTGACGAGACAACGGCTGGTGGTGCGACAACCGCACCGGAGTTCTCCGAAACCGATACCCGTCTTTCCGAACAATTAGAGAACAAGACTGATGCGACAGGTGTCGCGGTAGTGTCGGACGCGTCCCAGGATCTTCACGCTCTCGCAGAGGAGGACGTCCGAGTGAACAGTACCGACGACGCGAACGTGACCGGAAAATTCAGCCTGTATCAAGCCAGCGCAGCGTGGAGGGCTGCCGCGGGCGTAGCGCTGTGCAGCCCCAAGTTCCGCGTCGAATTGTCCGCGCATCCAGTATCGATGAAACTGCTGCATCTGTTCAAACTGTTAGCCGTAGACATCGTGACGGACAGTATTGAAGGTAATTGAGGAGTGATTATGGTAAACCACGATGAATGCGCCGAAACACCTTTTATAATCTAGTGAAAACGTGGTGCCAGAAGGATCCCGGACAGACAGAAATGCTGAATATAGCGTGCAAACGTTTAACGTGTACTTTGTGACGCGATCGTAACGGCACAACGTGTTTAAAATTTACTCGTTTTCACCCATTTCGGGTCCGGCTGTGAAAATATTGAGATCTATGGGACCCAAGTACCGTTTTACACTTTATCGTGTATATTAATAATTAATCAGTATATTAATAAAATTATACTACCGCGATTTTTTTTTTAATCTTTCACTCTCGCAGATTTTTTATGTAAGGTGTCGTTGATGATAAATGCATCAGCGGAATGACTTGGAGAACACAAATTTTGCATCCGGCATTTTCGTCGTTTACCATATTCATCCTTCAATTATAATACAGAGACGATAAGGGGGAGTCAACAGAGAAAGAAAGAGAGAGAGAGAGAGAGAGAGAAATTATATTATGTATTAAAGAGTTTATCGTTCTTCTAGATACCACTAAATCGGCGCATAAGCTGTTCGAGGCCCTGATTACGTGTTGTCTGACATCTCCGTTGTGTAAGTGTATTTATGTTACGAGTGTGATTAATAAAGCGCGTAACGTATGTATGCCGATTACGTATGTATATACATATCGCTCGCTCGCGCAGCTGCGGGATTTTAATCCGAGAGAACGAGATCCTCGCGCGGCTTTCGCTCGGCAGAAAAACAGTTCGAAGAACGGTAGACGGTGGATAGACGTCATTCTCTCGAAATCTTGTTCGCCAATGGCGACTCGCGCCGCGTAATCGCACGGACGGCTGACTTTGCTCGCTGAAGCTCTCCGGCTATTTCCTCGCGCGTTTTCTCGCCGTACCGATGTTGAATAACGGTAAGTGCTCTGTCGTGCAGATGATCGCGTTTTAGTCATGGAATTAGGAAAGGCGTTGATGAACACCGGGATAATGCTTGGTCGCGGAATAGCTGTGATAGTGGACGCGTTGTTGAAAGTCTCCATGTTGAAGCCAGCTCAGGAGAATAGCGTGCCGCAACAACCGCGTCCCAGAGTACGTGTTCAGCAATTTCCATACTTCCACTTGTTGCTCGTTGAACCCTCTAATGACAAGGTGGATTTTCAATCGTCGATCCGGGAAAGTGTATCCGACCCCGTGCACGGTTTTGTTCAATTTTCATTTAACCAACGTACAAAACAGGCGAAAGAAGAAAATAGTAGCATGGAATATTCTTTAGCGGAAAGAAACAGTCCGTGTAAAATGAACGAAGTCGTGGGGTCAATCTGACCCCCCCCCCCCCCCCCCCC